CGAAGTGAGCAGACGAGGCAAGGCGAGGAACAGACAAGACAAGGGAACGAACAAATCCGACAAGGCAGGTTGATCGGTGAGATGCATGAATGGATGCGGCAGATGATGCTGCGCGACCAACCTCCGCAACCATGAACTCTGTGAGTCCCCTGCTACTAGTGTTCCAACAGTGAGGACACTGTTGAATTCTAGTGTGTTTTATTTTATTTGTGTTTTTATGTTATTTGTGTGTTTTCAATTCTGTTGCAGTTAATTGTTTATTTAATTTCCAGTGTTAGTTTGAGAACATGATAGCGATCCACAGGAAACCCCCCCTGACATTGAGCTAATAAAATTAATAAAATTGTTGGTTGAGGAACTGTTTAGTGAAGATGTTGAGTGAGGTGATGAGAAAGTATATAGAATACTCAGAAAAGAACCGTGAGGGTGAAATCGGGATAATCTTGAGAGATAGGTAAAAGGCCAACACCCTGGGTTTCCCAAATAGGAACGAGTTCGACGTGTAGATTTGTACCATAGTGCTTTGATCTAAGAAGTACCCCTGAGTAGTTTATTTTGACAATCAGGCTCCATCAAAAATAACCGTGTGTGCAAGGGTAATGAAAAATATGGAGTTAAGGCACAGGAAAAAAAAACAAACAAAAAGGGGCAAGTAGGCGACTAATCCTTCTAAGTTGGGTAACCCTCATCCGGTTATTCAGCCCAACGGCGGTCGAACCTGAAAGCCATTCAAAAAGAATAACAGTGCCAGAAAAAGAAAAATGTCATTGATAAATCTTGTGCACACGAGGAAAATCATAAAAGCCATATAGTGATTGTCCGAATGAAAGGGAGGAAAATCAAAAAACAAGACTTAAGTACAAAGCATAGTCGGAGAGGTTACCCATAGGGAGACTGGGGTCTGTGGTTTACCGCAATCTAGTGTTTGCAGGTTACCTGTTTCGAGGGAAAAGCCGAGATTAATCCTAGGGGACTTGGAATGAGAAGTTCAAGTATGAGTATTATCACAGTAACTCACAATTCTATGGACGGTTCCATTATGAAAAAAAAGAAAGAGATATTAAGTTCGGATTGGTGAGCTTGTTGCTTGAGGACAAGCAAAAGTTCAAGTCCGGGGGAGTTTGATCGGTGGATTTCAGTTGTGTTTTCAAACGCCGTTTGTGGTTAATTTCGCAATGTTTTTATCTAGTTTTCGAAGCTTTAGTTGTTATTATCTGCATTACTCGTAGTTGTGTGTCTTCGAGTCTTATTTTTAAGTTTATGTTGCTTTTGCCGCTGGTGCGTTTGATTTGGTTTCTTTTAGTGTGTTTTTGGCAGGAATGGATAGCACGACAATCGCACCGCATTCGGAGGCAAAGAAAAGGCGAAAAGGGAACTCAGAGCTGCAACACGGGTACCCGTGTTGCACAACACGGCCCGTGTCATGAAGGACACGGCTGGCAGACACGGGTGGACCAAAGCAGAAGAAAAAGAAGACTCAGACTTGCAACACGGGTGCCCGTATCATGCAACACGGCCCGTGTTGCAGCCCTTGGAGAGGAACACGCCCTGAAGAAGCCAGCAGCCTGACACGGCCACCCGTGTTGCACAACACGGCCCGTGTCAGGGCCACTGAACGTGAAATTTCTCTGTTTTCTGATTTTTTGCTGTCAGACCTATTTCGAAGGGCATTTGAGACATTTCGCTATGTAATTTGAATTTAGATATAAGAGACACATTTTAGAAAGTAGAAGGACACTTTGGAACTGATATTAGGATTGACAACTGAGAGGAGAGTTCGGCTGGAAACAGAGGATCGATCAAAAGCGGAAGCAATTGATGATCCAAGGATTTCAACTTGCATTGTAATGATCTTCTCCTTTTTAATTCTAATCTTTTATGTTTACCAAGAACATGAGCAGCTAAACCCCAAGTTGTTAGGGGGTGGTCCTTAGTGCGATGTAATGACGTTTATTTAATTATTCTATGAGAACTATGTTTTTACCTTAATATATTTTATTTTGCATTAATCTTATTCGTATTCATATTGGAAAGTAGAATTTGAATCGTGCTTAGGCGTTAGTCTGGAAAGTCAACCTAACACTTTTGCAAAATAGTATCACGGTCGATATTGCTTAGGAATGAGGATATCCCGTATCACATATTTTATGGTCGGAACTATTGCTTGATATTTTTCAGGGACACTGAGGAATTAGTGAACAGGAAAATCATCAAAGGGTTTCCATTAAGGAATTAAGGCAACTAAAGTGGCCAACTGATAAATTAAGGTTAATAACTAGTATAGTGGAATAATCATACAGGGTTTTTACTCGCATCGTCTCCACTCCCCTAACACTGTTCTTAGATTGATTAATTAAGTCCGTATTTACTTGTGATATTACTCTGCTACCAAACAACCCACTAGACCTTTTGTTCAATTGAATCCTAAAAATTTCGTTAATTACTACGCAGTCCTCGAGATCGATACTTGGGACTTTTCCCTTATTACTATAATTGGTAAAAATAGTACACTTGCTATTTTCCCGATCGGTGGTGTGTTAAATATAATTCATTGTGTAAACAGATTTAATTTGATATCATATGATTAGATTTGATATCATATGATTAATTTGATATGATATGATTAGATATCATATGATTAGATTTGATATCATATGATTAGATTTGATTTAGAATATTTTGGGCCTTTTATGTTTTGGTCTAGTGTAAACCTAAAACTATAAATAGAATGTCTTGCTTTGTATTCTACATCACAACAGAACAGATTTCACAGTTGCAGTTAGCAAGTGAAAGTTCAATAAGAAATCTCACAGTTGTGGGTAACACATTCTCTCCAAATACTTCTTCTCTCATTCTTCTCTTTCTAGTTTGTTATTCTTCTTCTCTTTTGTTGTTCTTAATAATTACTTGTTATTACCATCATTATCATATAGTGGGTTTGTTCATCAATCTTGAGATCAAGATTGAAGGGAATTCTTCATAGGGTGTGAGTTGAATTTCCAACAAAGTCTGCCTAGAGCAGGACCTTTAGCAACGCTTTCGTAAATCCCACCTTTAGCAACGCTTTTAGAAAGTGCTTTCTAAAGTCTGCCTAAAGCAGGACCTTTAGCAGCGCTTTCTTAAAAGCGCTTTCATATCCCTTTTATAGCAGCGCTTTTTAAAAGCGCTTTCGTATCCCCTCCCTATAGCAGCGCTTTCATGAAAGTGCTTTCTATAGTATTACAAAATAATAACTTTTAGCAGCGCTTTTTAAAAAGCGCTTTCTAAAGCCTATGATTATTATTTTTTTATAAAATTTTTAACAGCGCTTTTAATAAAAGTGCTGTCTTTTATGTGCCGCCAAATTTTATTTTTGACGTAGTGAGAAATAATGACGCAATCTATTTGTGGGAATAGAAAAAGCTTAATAATAAAATTACGATTAAAAGCCTATTTAATAAGACTTAAAGGTTTGAAGTTTATTAAACCGCTCTAGTGATTACTCTTTAAGTCATAACCCAACACAATACACCCACTTCATGAAAGAAATGAAATGCACACGTGCCAAACTTTTGATAGATATTTTATTCTTTTACCTATTATATCTTTAATTATTTTTTAATTTATTTTATATTTTTTTCTTTTTGTAATATTAGAGATAAGTTTGACAAAATGCTATTAAATACAACTTTAAAATTTAAAAACGACAGTTGAAAAAAAGTAAAAATTCATCAAGATTACGACATTTAACTAAAAAAGAAGCTGGAAAATAATTCAAGGTCTAAAATAATCGTTTTGAGTCCATAGATTTCTATAGTAATTTTTTCAAGAAAAAAAAACAATGTCATCAAAATATTAAATGTGTGACACTCAGAACTCAGAATTCCTTGCTATATAATCAAAGTAAATGTTTAGAACCTCTCTTTGCCTCATTGAAGCACTCAACACCTCCACCACCAAAAAGCCTAATAAGAGAGCCAAATGGTTAATTGTTTAAAACTTCTTTAGATGTTGATTTGATCAAAACTACACTCATTAGCAAGAACGTATAGATCCAAGCACGCTACCTACCTCTAAATCTAAACCTCCTTATCAAATAACCTAAAAATCTCAATTAATTTAATCTTATGACTTCTCAAAATTCACCATAAAAATCAGACATTTCTTCTTTGTCTAAGCTCGAATTCTTTTGTGAAGACATAAAATCATATTTATTTTGTAGAAAGAAAAGGTCAATGTAATAGAAATATTGGTTTCTAAGACGAAGAGAATATTAGGGAGAATTCGCCTAATATATGTATTTATTTATAGTGCATGAGTGTCTTATAATTTATAAATAGAGAAAGAAGAAGAGTTTGAATTAACATTGTTTTTTCTCATTCCTCCACTCTTGTCTTATATTTTACTTTGATACCCAACATCATGAGTATGAAAAAATTGTTCTTAGAAAGAAGAACAAAAAAAACTCACTTTATGTGTATGACATGTTTTCTTAATAGATATTAGACACCTTTAAATGGTAATAAAAATTTTGTACTATAAAATCATAGCTTAAATAAATCTATAGAACATATTGGATGTATACCATGAAATACATTTTTTCCTCTTTTAAACATGCATGTCGACCCAGCAACGACTACTTCATATACTTTAATCTTTTTTTTAACTTTTGTTAATGTTTCACAAGCTTCCATTTTTGCAGCTTTTTCCTTTGTTTTATTATTGCAAAAGTCAATAAGTCAACTACTCTTGAGCAACGATCTTGATCTTATTATCTATCAAATTTTCTCCACTAGTTGCTCCCAAAAATCTAAGCAGACAAATTTGAAAATTGTGACAAATTATTATTTTCATATCTTGTATTTCTGATTCTTATCAACTTCTTTTGTATGCATGCAGCATGCACCCTCACAATTCCTCTCTCTATATATTGCGTAATCTTTCATATGTTTCTTCACAACACTTCCTTAGATTCTCTCCTTTGTTAGCTTAAAGCTATAAAGATTTATAGATTTAATTCTATGGCTACATTTACTAAATTATGTGTTACACTCTCTTTTATTTCTCTCTTAGCATGTTGCACCAATGCACAACTTGTTAATAACTTCTATGCAACAACATGCCCTAGCCTCCAAACCACAGTACGCAATACAATGACCAGTGCTATCAAAAATGAATCCAGAATTGGTGCTTCTATACTTCGCTTGTTTTTCCATGATTGTTTTGTAAATGTAAGTCCACTTTATTATGATATTGTTCAAAGTTGAAACATGCTACATTTTTTAATGTAAGTCCGCATATTCCTTTTGTAGGGATGCGATGGATCAATCTTATTAGATGATACGGCGACATTTACGGGTGAGAAAAATGCATTTCCTAACAAAAACTCAGCTAGGGGTTTCGAAGTGATTGATGCCATTAAAACCAGCGTTGAAGCTTCTTGCAATGCCACTGTTTCTTGTGCTGATATTCTAGCACTCGCAGCAAGAGACGGAGTTTTTCTGGTAAATAAAGAAATAATTATGGTTAATTTTCTACTTTTAGTTTTGAAAGATCATCACTTTCTGAATCTCAATAACTCATTTAAATTACTTTATTTATAGCTTGGAGGACCGTCATGGATAGTACCACTTGGAAGAAGAGATGCAAGAACAGCAAACCAAACCGCAGCAAACAACCAACTTCCATCACCATTCTCTAACCTATCTACCCTCATTACAATGTTTTCGGCCAAGGGTCTAACTGCAAATGACCTCACTGTTCTTTCTGGTGCACACACCATAGGCCAAGGAGAGTGTCAATTTTTCAGAACTCGCATATACAATGAAACCAACATTGATCCAAACTTTGCCACCTTGAGAAAAACAACTTGTCCATTTTCTGGTGGCGACACCAATTTAGCACCTCTTGATACTATCACTCCAACTACTTTTGACAACAATTACTATAAAGATCTTGTTGCTAAGAAAGGACTATTCCATTCTGATCAAGCTCTTTTCAATAATGGATCTCAAGATAGTCTGGTTACGAGTTATAGTACTAATAGTGCTACTTTTTTTAATGACTTTGCTACTGCTATGATAAAGTTGAGTAGACTTAGTCCTCTAACTGGGACTAATGGGGAGATTAGAAAGAATTGCAGACTTGTCAATTGATTTTGGATTGGAGGGCATATTAGCAATTCAATAAATTATGTGTCAGTTAAGGGCAAAGTCATAAAAGTTGGCAAGATCTTAGACACACTTGCAATTATAGTATTAGTGTTTTATTTCATAAGGTCAAATAGTATAGTGGAAATAACCACACATTTTAGTGTGGAGAAGTAGAAAATTACAAGGTCAAAATTACATATTAATACATCAGCTATGTTTTTGTATACAGTTATCAACTGAAGTGTATTTATCAACACAACAGTAATATATTGTTGTATGTACTTTTTTTTAATTTTATTTTTTATAAGCAAAAGTAAATTATTTTTTTACTACAAGGAATACTCCAACCTAAATACAATTTATAAATTACCTACACTAAGGCAATAACTATTTATAAAAAAACACTTCCTACAAAAATAGAAAGAATTTTGTATCATTTATAATAATTATGATTAACCCTTCTAGAAGAGCAAAAATGTAACCACCATCAGAATTATAAATAGTCCTTATAGCAATTTCAACTGTAATATTATTGTATGTACTTTTTTTATTTTATTTTTCATAAGCAAAAATATATATATATATTTTTTTTACTAGAAGGAATACTCCAACCTAAATACAATTTATAAATTACCTACACTAAGGCAATAACTATTTATAAAAAACACATCCTACAAAAATAGAAAGAATTTTGTATCATTTATAATAATTATGATTAACCCTTCTAGAAGATCAAAAATGTAACCACCATCAAAATTATAAATAGTCTTTATAGCAATTTCACCTGGAATAGCTATCGCACATTCATTATTAAATTTTAAAAGAAAAATTCACGTTTAGTGATAAAAAAAAAGGCTAAAAATCAGTCACTATATTGTTTAGCGATTAATAACGCGACTATCAAATTTCAGTTGAAAAAATATTATGTGAGACTTTTGGGTGTCCACTAAGTCATTTGATTTTTGTTGTATAATTTACATTTGAAATGTATATATTATTAATGAAATAGAACTTTCAAATATTATTTAAAAAGATGCTTGTGATAAATGTCATTAAAATTATATTTTATCTAAATTAATAAATTTGTATGAGTTAATTTTTTATATAAATGTATGTTTTATTTGTTAAAATAATAAAAATGTAAAATTTTAGCTAAAAAATTAGAAAAATTAATAAAAGGAGAAAATTAGGAGGGAAGCAACTTAATAATGAAAATAATAATAATAATAATATTAGTGACCGAAATTTCGGTCATTGAATTTTTTTATGAATTAATTTATATAAAAACGATTATTTGAGACTGAAAATTATGATCACAAAATATCAGTCGCTAATTCGGTGGCTAGTTTTATTTAGTGGCCGATTTAGGGATTTTTAAAATTTTACTAACATGACACTACGCCATATAATACAAAAGACAACGTTTCTTTTTCTTTATCAGCGCTTAAAAGTGCTGCCTAAAGTGGCGCTACTGTAGGTAAAGACAACACTTTTTTTAAATGCAAAAGTGATGTCTTAAGTCCCCTTTAGGCAGCGGTTATGTGTCAAAGTGCTCTCTATTGTCACCTTTAGGCAGCGCTTTCTTTTATCCACTTTAAGCAACATTTTTTCTTTACAAAGTGCTTTCATTTCTCCACGTAAATAGCGCATTTTAAAAATACTTTTTTAGAAAACGATTTTTTGTTATAAGCAATGTCTATTGTGCACTTTTTTAGGAAGCATTTTTTTATTAAAAACGTTGATATAAGTCTTATTTTTTAATTATAAAATAGCAGCACAAACCATTATAATTCAAATTTTTATCAAAATTTATCACAAACTTTTATAATTCAACACAAGTCTTTATTTCAACACATAGGCTGCATATACCATTATAATTCAACGTATATATACCATTATAATTCAACACATAAACCTTATAACCATTATAATTCAACACGTAGACTTTATAACTATTATAATTTAACACATAAACCTTATACACCAAGAAAACATGCATAATTCTAATAACAACAGATCCACTTCTAAAACCTTTAACTTCTAAAGATTCACCAAACATAGTTACAAATTCCATCAATCCTTAATTCACAACAACTTCAAGAACTATACATCAACTTCCAAAACTATACAATAATTTTCAAAACTATTCATATCCAGTACAGAACATCACAACAACAAAAATCTCTAAGGACCATAAACTTCACACAAAAGAAAGGAGACAATATAGCTTATATAATTCTCATCTCAAGAATGTATTGACATCATTCCTCCTTAATTTCTTCCAGTTTATCTTTCGAGTAAGTAACACACTTGAATTCATCAATGTACTACATAATATAACATAATATGCATGACTTAGTTAAAACTAATTAATTAGATAAAATATTCATTAAATATTAAAATAAATCACAACTTATAAATCCATACAATGTTTGAAATCTCTAGTTCATAAACCTCAATACAAAATAACCGCAATCTATACCATTATGCCGACGAGGACACTACACATAGAAAAAGTACGAATATATATCAGGATATATAGTTTAACTTATTTTATCTAGTAGCATCACTATTATAATCAAAATTGTAAAAATTTGTATGCACTATGATGCATGTAATGTTGTTTATTTTACTCTTTGATACTCGAGCTTGTCTTTATGATCTGAATATTTGTATATCTCTAACATAATATAAACAAATATTTAGAACAATCTCACATGAATAAATAAATATACATATGAATATTTAGAACAATCTCATCACTTACGTATCAACCATCTTCTTCATATATGGGTATTTTGTTTGTTTACCATCTAATGAATTAAGATAATATACTATTTCTTTTATCGGATTAATCGCAACCAATAACTAGTGTCCACTGTAGAATAAAACAAAAGTTTAGATTGAAATTTTCTACACAACATCAAAAAACCAAAAATTATAATAAATGAAGTTAGAATGAAAATCTAATCCATGACCAGTATTATATGGTAAAAGATATAAATTTTCTCTATCTCTGTTGGCCATAAATGCATCGACTAAGTGATCTTTGACTACATTTGAACTTTGATCGACTAATTATGCGTTGATACAGCTGGGAGATAAGAAAGAAAATATTTCTATCAACTGACGTGAGCGCATCAATTTGTCATACAAGAACCTTAAATAAAAACATAATCAACATTATAATATTCATTGAAATGAGTAAATAAATGATTCAATTAATTAAATAAAATTGATATGAGTACCTGATGTATGAATTTATAACATCGATGCCTAATTCAGAATATTGAAAAATATGTTTTAAGTCCTCTTTAGCAATTGTTTCGGTATATGAAAAAACCAAAAATACCTTCCTCCATTGGTATTTCACGAATACCACCTTCCATCACATCTGTTGTTCCTACATATGTTTAAAGACACAACCTAAATTAAGGAATAAATGCTTTTTTAGGCTCGGTCTTCACAAAATACTTTCTTTTGTTGGACATGTTGCAAAATTCAGGATTCTTATTCTTACTTACTTGTTGCAACTCTTGAGCATGAATCTAAAAATCATATAGGTAATGTATAAGATCGTGAAGCTTTTAAATTCGGACGATAGAATTAACATTTTCTATGCATATATATCAATATACCTCTTTTTTTGATTCAACTGACTCAGTGTGTCGCACAATCCATCTATCTTTTGATTTGGATTTTGTAGGAGTCTAACATTACCATGTAAATAAAATGCACGTAAATGTAAGAATAACTTACATGGTTCGTAAAACATTTGAATACTAAAAGGTTCATAATGGTTTTTAACATACCTCATCATCTATGAAAAGGAGGTTTGACGGTCATACAACATACGATCCTATTGTGTCTCCCACCAATGTTGCATCTGAAACATCGTCTAGTATAGGTAATAATGCATCCCCCTCTAAATAAATATCAATCGATACTTTCAAAAATCCAGCAGGAAGCGGATTATGGTGAAGTACATCTCCCAAAGTGTTATGCACTTTTCTTTTGTAAACCATGCGATAAGTTGGTGACGATAAATAGAGCTGACAAGGTGAAATGCCCTAAACCAATAATAAATATGAAATTGTTAATGTGTATATATACCAATTAAAAAAATAACGCTAATTTAGTTTCAAGGTAATATATATAATTACCTCGGGAATTTTCTGTTGAAAATTACAATTGACATTATCTTTGTCACTAGTATCTTTAAACTCTGAACCGCGCCTTTCTGACATATATCTTTTTTTATCCTTTTCCAATTCATGAATTTGAGCTTTTAATTCTTCCAAAGATTTCATCACTTGTTTATTGCTAGGACTTTTACTCTTTGGATGCTTATAAAGGATTGTTGGAATGACCCAAAATCTCTTACCCCTTACACGACCGGAATACTCATGAACAATTAATACTCGACTTAGTACGCTCCTGCAATCATGGTCTTTAACTAGAGTTAAAGACTGAGATAGATTTTCCTGAAATTCATATACATATCAAAAAAGATTAGTGTGGATTAAAAAACATAAATATTATATGTTAATAAACTTTTGAATTAATTAAAGAAATAACGTTATACTTACAGATTAATCAAAAACTTGTTGAACATCTTCCTTAACAACTCCATCCTTATCCACACGAGCAGCTTTTCACAAAACATATTTCAGAAGAGATGTTTCTTCACTTTTCTCATCTTCTAACTACACATTAAGATAAATAATAAGATCAATTATAACACATGGGGAACAAGTATAGCATAGCATTTATATATACTTACTATTCTTGTTTGTAAGCGTACATATCTCAAACACCCTTTTTTGTATGGATACAAGGATTTTGATGCTTGTTGGCGATTTATGTCACTCATATCATGGATAAACAAGTTTAAGTCATATCATAACACCCGTGCAATAAGTATATAATACAATGTTCATGATAAATTAACATTACATGGAATTCTTGGATTCTTCGTTTGGCTACAAAAGTTTCTCATTCTT